GCTGGGTTGGAAGGGGGGAAGAAAGGGGGCGCCTTGAAAAAATAATATGCATATCAAGAGGAATTTAGCATATTTATGGGAAATGCAGATATGTGATTAGTACTACTTATGCCCGTGCATTATGCAGGATTAGCAGCATCAAAGGGAGGGGGATAAGGGAAATGCAGGTATGTGAATATGACTACTTATGCCCGTGCATTATGCAGGATTAGCAGCATCAAAGGGAGGGGGATAAGGGAAATGCAGGTATGTGATTAGTACTACTTATGCCCGTGCATTATGCAGGATTAGCAGCATCAAAGGGAGGGGGATATGGGAAATGCAGGTATGTGAATAGTGCTACTTATGCCCGTGCATTATGCAGGATTAGCAGCATCAAAGGGAGGGGGATAAGGGAAATGCAGGTATGTGATTAGTACTACTTATGGCCTACAAATGTTAACTTGCAACTTCTTCTTGTTCCAAAACAGTACAAGGTAATCGCTTGGTCAGAACACAGAGTTATGCAGAAGCCATTGACAAGTTTACCGACGCAATTAACTTATGTCCGCGCGATCATCGGTAAGTCAACTCCCTTAGTGTAACTTGACAATTTTTAAAGCAAAATTTGAATACTAATATTAACATTTCATGAGCATTAAACACTTCTATACAGCCAATTTGAGTTGATGGAAAGTAGCTTGGCAGTTCAACGTCGTGTGTGTGTGTCACAGGCATAATGCATTCTAAAGGCAAAATGTTGCGTGATAAAGTTGGCAGGATGGGAACATCACAGCGAGTTACGACTTAAACTGCTTGATGACGTCTTTCCAATGATTGCCGAGTTTGTACCCATCCTCTCGGTTGAAACTGTGTCTGTATATATGGATGGCTTCATGAACAAATCTTTGTTGATAGCCAGTGCGCGTACAAAGTACCTTCATCTTAGAGAAATCGTGTGAGCCCACCGCATTGAAACAATGATCAGCCACGGCCGACGCGTTGGTCCTGCCGTGTTTCAGATCCGCCTCATGCTCACGGACATGGTCCGAGACGCCAGGGTACTGCATATCCATATTCTTAGGTTTTTTCGGTAAAGTCACCAGGTAGGTAAAAACATTAAAATTAATCAAAGTAAAATAAAATAAAAATCACGACGTTTCGGAGGCAACACAAGCTTCCGTCTTCAGGTGGAACCGTCACAGCCACGACAGCTGTATCAAGTAGATGTGTTGCCTCCGAAACGTCGTGATTTATTTTATTTTAAGTTTATTAATTTTAATGTTTTTACCTACATGATGACTTCACCGAAAAAACCTAAGAATATGAATCCTTGCAGTCACGAAAGCTTCAAATCTAGAATTACTGCATATCTTTCACAGATGGGATCAGATTACGAATTTGACGTAGTGTTAAATCGAGCCTGGATCTTGTGTTAGCTCAAGATTTAGGAAATATTTTGGTGACCCCTGCTATGTATGGCAAGGTGATGGTTTTGATGGTTCTTTCCCAACGGTTGGGGTGAACGCTTTATGGATAGTGTGGTCCGAATATTCATTCATCTTGAGAGCTTGGTGTACATGATAAAGTTCACTGGCTCGGTGATGATGGTCGGAGATGCATGGAGCTCTATGGTGTAGCGTTTTGATGAGGGAATTCTTTTGGGATGGATGGTGGTGGGAGTCAGGTTTTAGATAAGCATCCATATGGGCGGCTTTGCTGTAGACAGAGTGTCCCATTGAGCCATCAGTTCTCTTTTCGATTAAAACATCCAATAATTCTAGATTTGAAGCTTTCGTGACTGCAAGGATTCATATTCTTATGTTTTTTCGGTAAAGTCACGTACGTAAAACATTTATTTTATTTTTTACCTACGTGACTTTACCGAAAAAATCTAAGAATATACATCCAAGAATGGTAACTTGCCATCCTTTTCCACCTCCATGGTGAATGTGATGGCTGGGTGTATGTAATTAATGTGCTTGAGGAATTGGTTCAGAGCTGGTAGGCCATGTGGCCAGATGACAAATGTGTCATCTGCGTACCTCTTCCACAAAGACGGATAACAACCTTGTCAACGTCTAGCTTTTTAACGTGTTGATCTGTTACCTACATGTTTCCAATCAGATGCAGACATTTTAAAATCCTTTATATTAAGTTCACTTGCTTGCTTGCGCGCTTACGACCGTGCAAATCTTTCGGTCGTTTGTTAACCCGCTTCCCGTGAGCCAATCGAGCTGACATTTTGCACACAGACTCGTTGTGCGTGACAATTACTTTTCGTGAAAAAAAAATTCCTAAATTTTCAACTTTTTAGGAAAAAAAAAATTTCATATTTTATTTAAAATAGCAATGTGATAAAAATGGAACTCTTACTCAAGAAAAACAGAAATGAATAATAAAATAAAACCGATGCCACGCATATAAAGGATTTATAGTGAAAAACTTTGTTTTACGGGTTAAATTTTTAGCGTGTTGATCTGTTACCTACATGTTTCCAATCAGACGCAGACATTTTTTCCGTCAACGTTCAGTGTGATTTCAAGAATGTCTTATCCACATGGCCTAGTTCAATTCGGAGCAATCGAATTCTAAAGATGGTCTGTCAATTGGATTTGATTTCTCATCTGTGTCATTATTCACCAGCTTTTATGGAAATCGGTCATTTTGTTTGGAACATCTTGGCTTGTACACTGATGCCTTGTTCGATGCGGAGATCGCTATATATCTAAACCCAACATGGCCCCGGGGATACTTCAGACAAGCGCGGGCTTGCATTGGACTGAAGGTAAGGTTGCTGTGTTTGCAATCTTTGACAGTTCACGTGCAATTTGCATTACACCGTTGACTGGCTTTAAAGATAAAGGACTAATTACAGTAAAACCTTGGATTGCGAGCATAAATCGTTTGTAATCCAAAGCACTCGTATATCAAAGCACTCGTTGTTTATCAGTCGTGATCACGTGACAAAGCGTATACTACGTGTCCTGTTCGTATTGCAAGACGTCGCTCGTTTATCAAGTTAATATTTATTTTAAAATCCTTTTTATTAAGTTCACTTGCTTGCTTGCGCGCTTACAACCGTGCAAATATTTCGGTCGTTTTTTAACCCACTTCCCGTGATCCAATCGAGCTGATATTTTGCACACAGACTCGTTGTGCGTGACAATTTATTTTTGTGAAAATTTTTTTCCAAAATTTTACACTTTTTAGGAAAAAAATAATTTCATATTTAATTTAAAATAGCAATGTGATAAAAATGAAACTCTTAATCAAGAAAAACTGAAATGAATAATAAAATAAAACCGATGCCACGCATATAAAGGATTTATAGTGAAAAACTTTGTTTTTACGGGTTAATTTTTAACAAATTTGCTCGTCTTGCAAAACACTCGCAAACCACGTGACTCGCAATCCAAGGTTTTGCTGTGTATTGATTTGCATTCAAATGAGTTACTTTATAAATGACCTTCAATTTTATTAATTACACCGCAGCATTTAACTTTTGTAAATGCAGCAATGTGACGATGATGGGTAAACGCATAGTGTACAACTTTTTACTCTTGTAAGTGTCACCACCCAATATTTCCATTCCACACCACAATGATGTCCGTCTGATTTCCTCAGTTTGGACTTTGACCTATCCGTTGAAAGGGAATTTGATGTAAATGACCATTTTATCATAAGCAGCACCTCAGATTAGAATTGTTGTAACCTAATGCCACATTGGCCAATTTTTAAGTTCAGATTTTGAATTAAGCATTGCCAGCAGATTTCATGCACAGAACCACCACGGCATATAATAATACAATGCTTGGTCAACATTAATTCTAGATTTGAAGCTTTCGTGACTGCAAGGATTCATATTCTTAGGTTTTTTCGGTAAAGTCACGTAGGTAAAAAAATTAAATTAATAAAAGTAAAATAAAAATAAAAATCACGACGTTTCGGAGGCAACACAAGCTTCCGTTTTCAGGTGGAACCGTCACAGCCACGACAGCTGTATCAAGTAAATGAGAGATTACAAGAGATACCACTCGTATATATTGGTCAACATATCACATACGGTGGTGAGAACAAGTTTGAACCCCAATGATAATTATGGAAATTAAATAGTTGTACCATGACAGTCTTCTTGAATCAAAACCCGGTATTTTCTTAAACATCTAATAGGGTTTATATGAACAAATTCCATGTCTTCTGAAACAAAATGATGCGTGAGTGAAGCACATCTACAAAAGAATTGCTACAGAAGAAGAGATTCCTAAGTTGTACAATGGCCTAGTCAAAGTCCAGACCTAAACCCCATCGAAATGTTGTGGCAGGACTTGAAGCCAGCTGCCCTTGGAGCTCTGTAAGGAGGAATGGGCCAACATTATTCAAATCAGATAAGAGAGGCTGACCAATGGTCACAGGAAACACATTTCGATTTAAAGCTTTCGTGACTGCAGGGATTCATCTTCTTGGTTCTTATCGACAGACATGTTCTTCTTCACCTGAGGACGGCTGCTTGCGTTGTGGCCGAAACGTCGTGAGAATTGTTTTATTTTTATTATTTTATTACTTCCCTACTACGTGACTTTACCGAAAGAACCAAGAAGAGGAAACACTTAGTTGCAGTGATTTCTGTGTCACCAGTTACTGAATCTAAAGTTTAATATACTTTTTTCACACGTGGTTATTGAATATAGACTCATTTGAGGATAAGTAGATGTTGAAAGAGTATCACTGTATCTTCTTGGTTCTTTCGGTAAAGTCATGTAGAAGGGAAGTAATAAAAATAATGAAAATAAAACATAGTAAAATAATTCTCACGACGTTTCGGCCACAACGCAAGCAGCCGTCCTCAGACGCTGTCTCCCCGACAGACCTGGTTTTCACCTGAGGACGGCTGCTTGCGTTGTGGCCGAAACGTCGTGAGAATTATTTTATGTTTTATTTTTATTATTTTATTACTTCCCTTCTACGTGACTTTACCGAAAGAACCAAGAAGAGGAATCCCTGCAGTCACGAAAGCTTTAAATCGAAAACAAATATCACGTTTTATGTTTCATTTGTTTAATCGTGTTATCGTTGTTATTATTAGGACTTAGATTAAGATGTAATAACATTTTAGGTTTGAAATATGTAAAAGATGTGAAAATCCGAAGGGGTTCACACTTTCTCTCGACCCTGCAGAAGAAAAACAGCCTGTGGAGTATTTGGCTTTGTTCAAATTGTCCGTTTCAATTGCTCAGTAAGTCGTGGAGTTACTCACCCCCCCCCCCCCCCACCATTATATGAATCGTCAGGAACAGGTGTTGCAATTCAATTCAAGGATAAAATTACTTTATTTCTCCTTTGGATTTTCTCATGTTCTGTCTTGTACTGTGTGCATTCAAATAAGTCCATCAATTGTTGTATGCATGCATTTATTTAATTGTTACATGCCTACTGACCTTCCATTGCGCATGTAAGTTTCTGACTAAACACGTGTTGTGTTTGTTAATTTGACAGCGTTACAGAGAGGCAGAAAGTGCGTTATGTCAGCTGATTTCTTTAAATGTGTCTTCTGAAGAAGCAAAACAAGAGCTTAGGAAAGTGCGAACACTTCTCCTTGTGGTAAGCCGGTGCACCAGTGTCATACATTGTGTGTGCATATTGGAGTGTCTTTAAGTTGAGGCATAAGCAAATGACTTCGGACAATTTTTCACAAGGTAATTGAGTGCAAACGTAATCTCCATCTATATAAAAGGCAAAGTTGTAATTGTGTGTGTTTGTTCAAAATGTTTAGCGTACTTCCTGACATGCAACAAACTGGAAATTAGCCATGTGGCTACTTTCCAGACTGTACACCATGCAGGCATTATAAAAATACACTTTTTTTGGGGGGGGGGAGCTCAATAATGCATTTATTTTTTGCACGGCAAGTGAGCTGTGACGTCAAATCTGTCACGTGACCCGCGCATGTGGAAGCGTAACGCAATGTAGTGTAGTGGTTAGCGTGCCACGCTATGAACGCGGCGTCCCGAGTTCGATTCCCGCTCACGGCCACCGCCGGTGACGATTATTTCAACCGCTCCTGGGCCTCCCCTAGGTCGACTCAGCCTCAAACGAGTAACTGGTGCGGTGTGTGAACATCGCCACTGGGTGAAGCCGGGTAGTACAGCTCGTGTGTGTATTCATGTAAAGTGATTTTCACAGCTGATAAAGTCGTGCGGAACTTTAATGAGAATGTATATATGGCAGAGGTCGCTAACGGGTTTTGATTCCTTACCCATACCCGTACCCGGCCGCACCAGGGTCGCAAATGGGTACCCGTTCCCTACCCGTACCCTACCCGAAATGAGTGACGAACGGTGAATCACCAGTGACTCACGGCCTACCCGTACCCGTACCCGGCCGCACCAGGGTCGCAAACGGCTACCCGTACCCTACCCGATACGGGTATCGGGTACCCGGTTGCGACCTCTGATATATGGTACCCTACCCGATACCCAGCCGGGTATCGGGTAGGGTACGGGTATCGGGTACCCGGTTGCGACCTCTGATAAATGGTAATGTTGCCCTTTGACCTTGAGCGAAATGGACATTTTGGCCTCGTGCCAAATTCATGATCGCTTGCAGAGTGCCAATTGCCATCTCGCACGCGTGGAATTAATAAGTTAGCACCGTCGTATGTGAAAACCGGTTAGATTTAAAGCTTTCGTGACTGCAGGGATTCATATTGTTGGTTGTTTCGGTAAAGTCACGTAGAAGGGAAATAATAAAATAATATTGTTTTATTGTTTAATATAATATTGTTTAATACTAATATTATTTTATTATTATTTTACCTAGAATACACATCTGGTTTGCCGATGTTTCTCTGCGCTTTTGTAGGAGATGGGCTTTCCACAGCAGCAGTCGGAGGCTGCAATCTTGGAGTACGACACGGTGTACGCCGCTTCAGAAGCACTGCTTCGAAACACAGGTGCTTATTGCAAAGCTTGTATTTTTGAAATGCCGTGTTTGTTGCCATAATTGTCCTAATCCCTATGATGAGCTTTGCTTAGCGTGGATGCTTGATGTGGATGGATACTACAGCTCTGCACAGCGATCTCGCCACGGTGGTAGCAAGATGTTAACTACCTCGCCTGGTATACAGGAGGTCGTGGGTTCTGTGAGATGTTAACTAGCTCGCCTGGTATACAGGAGGTCGTGGGTTCTGTGAGATGTTAACTACCTCGCCTGGCATACAGGAGGTCGTGGGTTCTGTGAGATGTTAACTACCTCGCCTGGTATACAGGAGGTCGTGGGTTCTGTGAGATGTTAACTACCTCGCCTGGTATACAGGAGGTCGTGGGTTCTGTGAGATGTTAACTACCTCGCCTGGCATACAGGAGGTCGTGGGTTCCATCCCAACCCTGACGCCTGCTGCTGTGTATTGGGAGCTTGCGTGCTCTGTCCATGGTTTTCCCCTTCACATTTAGAAGCATGCGTGTTTAGAGTATTTGCTATAAATTTCCACAAGTCACTTCATTGAGCTTCATTTGTGGCCAGTTGTCATCTGAAAAAGAGATGTTTAGCTTAGTGGCCTTACCTGATAACATTTAAAGTTTGATTCTAGATTGGAAGTTTTCGTGACTGCAAGGATCCATACTCTTTGGTTCTTTCGGAAAAGTCACGTAGGTAGAAAATAAAAATAATGATAAAATTTAAAATACAAATGAAATTAACTCAATTTAGTTATTTTCATCTTTAAAATTAAAATAACTAAACTTTAGTTATTTTAATTTTACATCTTAATTTTATTCTTTTTTTCACCTACGTGACTTTACCGAAAGAACCAAAGAGTATTTAAAGGTTAGTATCGATTTTAGCAGCAGCCATAACACTCGTCAATTCACAAACTCGGAACTTAAGTACTCACCAATCAGCTGACTGTCACTGATTGCGGTTTGCTCTAATTACATGCAAGCATCGCTGACTGTAACGAATGTTCCTTTTTTATTCCATTGTGTTAAATCACAAATGTGTAATGTATTTTAGTTGTAGACACTAATTGATACACTGATCGAGACATTTAAACCAATACACCGTTCAAAAGTAATGCAATGCTAAATCATACATTTCGATTTAAAGCTTTCGTGACTGCAGGGATTCATCTTCTTGGTTCTTTCGGTAAAGTCATCACGTAGAAGGGAAGTAATAAAAAAATAAAAATAAAACTAATAAAATAATTCTCACGACGTTTCGGCCACAACGCAAGCAGCCGTCTTCAGGTGGAGAACAGGTCTGTCAAGTAGACTTCAGACTCTGTCTACTCGACAGACCTGTTCTTCACCTGAGGACGGCTGCTTGCGTTGTGGCCGAAACGTCGTGAGAATTATTTTATTGTGTTTTATTTTTATTATTTTATTACTTCCCTTCTACGTGATGACTTTACCGAAAGAACCAAGAAAATAAATATTCTCACGACGTTTCGACTGCAACACAGGCAATCACCATCAGTTGTGAAATCCACAGCAAGAAAATTTGAAAAAGTGGCGATTTTTCTTAACGTCAGCACCATAGACAGCGATTTGGCAGTTTGCCAGATGAACGAGTCCATCTTTGTTTTATTGTTTTATATTTATTATTTCCCTTCTACGTGACTTCACCGAAAGAGCCAAGAATATAATGCTACAACATGTTAAAGCAACACAATCTGGTTATACCCAGCACGTTATGGGCAATCTCCCCAACTCGGTGAGTGTGACGATGAGCTGTATAGGAATGTTTTTGTTTCACGAACTTGTGTTCACTTTGGTGTGATCTCGCCTCACGTTGACCTCCTTTTCACAGATACTCCCAATTCACTTAGCACGTGTTTAAAACACGTGCTTCCCCAATGTATCGCCTTTGTAAAACAACAAGTTTATTAACTCGGCCAAGCTTTCCTGGATGAAACTTGTTTTATTTTCTTGGATAAAAAACGTGTATTCTTACTTGCCTGGATAGAACATGTATTCTTACTGCCAGAGGTCGCAAATGGGTTTTGATTCCTTACCCGTACCCGTACCCGGCCGCACCAGGGTCACAAACGGCTACCCGTACCCGGCCGGGTACGGGTAGCCGGGTTTCGGGTAGGGTACGGGTATCGGGTACCCGGTTGCGACCTCTGCTTACTGCCTGGATGAAACATGTGTTCTTGCTTTGCTGTACTTGGTGGTAGTAAACCGACGTTTGTCACCATTTTGGAACGGTAAAGCAACTGGTGTTTATTCTCGAGATTATCAAAAGAATGTGAATCTTCTGGGAATGAGAACACTGATCCTGTATCTGATTTCTACTCCTGTTTCAGGTTCCTTGTCAACATCCGGTGTGGGCAACGTGGGGATACAGAATGATAAACCACCAAGTCCTCAGCCTAGTAAGTAAACTTGTGTATAACTAATTAGAAAGCTGTACATCCATTTCAATAAATGAGCCTCTTACACTAGAAATGTTTGTATGGAAACATGCAAATGGACAAATGCGTTCGGAATTGCTAACTTATTACCCATGAACTTGCATTGAAATTCCCAAACGAATTGCACTGGTAATAAGATGGAATGTGCATTTCATTCTTTAAAAATAAATAGTTTTTTTTGTGGTACATTTATAGAAATTGGTGTCTGGTCCAACACCAATTGAGACTAGGCTCTAAGAAAAGCTGTCTCGGGTGTGGACCAATCAACTTCAAGGACAGTGCATATCATTATCAGAGTTGTTTCTTTTTAATTGCATTTTGACTTCTTGTGTTGAGGTTATTGCAAACATGATGCCTTGTATAAAGGTGTCAGATTTTGTACCAGTTAAAAGGGTAAAAATCTACTACTATATTTTGCCACTGGTAAAGGAGATGTCTCATAGTGTAAATGCTTACCCCAAGCTTTCAATACTCTGATAGTGCGCTGTTTTTGAGTTGTGCGCCTTTTGGCGTCATCTGGTCCAACACCAATGGAGACTAGGCTCTAAAGAAAGCCGTCTTGGGTGTGGACCAATCAACTTCAAGGACAGTGCACATCATCATCAGAGTTGTTTGCATTTTGACTGCTTGTGTTGTGGTTATTGCAAACATGATGCCTTGTATAAAGGTGTCAGATTTTGTACCAGTTGAAAGGCTAAAAACCTGTCACTACACGCCAGTGTTGTCAGAGAGAATGAGCGAGTGTAGAGTGAGCTTAGGTTGGTGGTCACCTCCCTACGTGTCATGTGAACGTGTTACCGTTCTGTTCAGAAATAAATAGAGCTGTCTTTCCAGCTCAGTGTGTGCGCCTCGATCGAACCATCTCACTCGCATCATCAGGTTTCCTGTGTGCTGTACAAGTAACGAGTCGCCACGAACAGTGACAAACCTAACTAAATGGCCGGTGGTGTCTGGTTTACGGCACATTTATATGAATGCGATCTAACCCAAAGAAAACCTTTATTATGCAGGATATTGGTCGCGAGAGCCGGCGTGTTCAACTACGTGGATCCTTTATCTAAAACGCCATCCTATTTGTGTGTTGCCCGCACCACGTTGTGCATGTACACAAGCTGTAGATGTCGCCGCACAGAGGAGCCAAGACTCACGTGGTGCTTTGGGCAATTCTCCAGTGCCTCCACCACCTTCGTGAGTAACGCACCATCGCTGTGACACTTGAATCCGTAGCGTAATGTCATGGTTTTGCTTGATAATGTTACTGGTAGACTTGCAACACAATATGCGTGCATCATTAGACCTTCTTTGCCAGTACGAAAATATAATAATAGGATTTTTCACCTTTTTTCAGGCAACAAAACAAAAAAAATATTTTGATGTGGACCAATCAGCTTCAAGTACAATGCCAATATATTGTCATAGTGTGTTTTTGTTTGCATTTTGACTGCAAGTATTGTGGTTAATGCAGACATGAATCCTCGTAGAAAGGTTTCAGTTTTGTTGCCAGAAAAAAGGGGAAAAACCCTACTATTAATATGCGTGCAATTGAGATACTTTCCAAATGTTAAGATCCATAGTACAAAGGTGGCATTTTTAAATCATCCTTTATATTAAGTTCACTTGCTTGCGCGCTTACGACCGTGCAAATATTTCGGTCGTTTTTTAACCCACTTCCCATGATCCAATCGGGCTGACATTTTGCACACAGACTCGTTGTGCGTGACAATTTATTTTCGTGAAAAAATTTTTCCAAAATTTTCCACTTTTTAGGGAAATTTTTTTTATATTTAATTACCAATTGCTTAATGGTGGCAGGCAATCATCTGACCCATAGGTGGCAGCCATCTCAAGCCAGAGGATGAGAGGACTCTAGCCGCCACGCATATAAAGGATTTATAGTGAAAAACTTTGTTTTTACGGGTTAATTTTTTGCATATAAAAAATGAAAATTAAGCACTTGTGAGCATGCTGGCTATGTTATCTAACGACTCTTTACCATTTTATTAGTCCGTCTGCAGTTTAAATTTTGTATTTTATTTTATTCTCAGGTATAAGCATATGGGTGGGAAATATCACTTCTGCTGTTACTGAAAAAATGCTTCAAAAGCTGTTTCGCCCGTAAGTATGTATTTGCGGCTATACGGTGTGTTACTATTCCAAACATCTAATATTGACTGCATTCACAATACATATTCTTTACCAAAAGAACCAAAGAGTAATGGATTCGTGCGGTCGCGAAAGCTTCAACTCAACATCGCCCCGATCGCTTTGTCACTTGTACAGATTTGGACAGATCCACAGCATCCGAATACTGGTGGACAGGAAGTGTGCGTTTGTCAACTACACGGACGAGGAGGCCGCTGAGAGAGCTCTCTGGTCCCTGCAGGTGCGTTTGTGGATGCCGAGGGAAGGGCCTCTATGGCATCTGCGGTCACCGTGCGCCTCTGTTAATCACACTGGTCAACACACTTTGTCTGGCATAAGGTATTACAGTGATCCCTCGCCACTTCGCGGTTCAAGTTTCGCGGTCTCAGTGCATCGCGGATTTTTCTAACTGATTTAAAGGCCTCATTATTATACCTGTGCAGTAACACCATCATCATCATCATTCATCATCACATTCATCGAACTGCACAGGTCTGTCATCGTCGTCATTGTCATCGTCATTGTCATCGTCGTCATTACTGGAGTCAAGTCTCAAGATGCTACTGTCATTGGTGAGTGTAGAACACCATAATACGTATCGTATGAGAGAGAGTGAATGTATAATATTAAGGTTTTATAATTAAATAGATTTAAGTAAAATATATAAAGTATAAATATACATATTTTAAACATTCTGGTACCCACACACACATAGACGGAAATTCCTAGGGGGCCAATCCTACTTCATGGATGTTCACCTATCGCGAGGGGTTCCGGTCCCCATTAACCGCGACCAACGAGGGATCACTGTACAACGGTTTTAAGTCAATTTCGGGCCGCTGATTCCAAATCAGGGAACAAATACGACACTATACACTACACTATACACTACACACTACACTATACACTACACTATATACTACTATACACTACACTATACACTGCACTACTATACACTACACTATTCACTACTATACACTACACGAAACACTACTATACACTTACATTATACACTGCTACACGATACACTACATTATACACTACTATACACTACACTACTATACACTACACTACTATACATATACACTACACTACTATACACTACACTACTATACACTACACTATACACTACACTATATACTACACTATATACTATACTATACACTACTACACTATACACGACTTTACACTACACTATACACTACTATACATTATACACTGCTACACGATACACTACACGATACACTACACTATGCACTACACTCACTAGTGCTGTACTAGTGACGAATTTGCCACGTTCTGTTTACGTGACAACCCTCACTAGTTGGCTGTGTGGGGTGGTGGCGGGTTTAACGACACATTGATATATTTATGCGATCTCACCCCCCAAAAAACTCTTCCTATGGACACAATCCAAGAAAAGACAGCAAAATATTGCAGAAAATACACCGTACTCCGACACTGTGTGCAAAAATCCCAGTGGGATGCAAGTCAAACAACAACAACAACCAGAAGACAACTTAGATTAAGGCCATCAGTCTAACTCTGTACTACAACATACAAACATGGCTAAACCAATGCACTTTTCGAAATCACCAAAATAAAGCCACGTGTCTCTCCCTTGTGTCCTCAACAGGGACACAGAGTAGCAGACACCAATCTGCTCATCGACTTCCAGAGTGTCTCCGCAAAGACCATCGCAGCCGCCTTTCAGCAGCCTTCAGCAGTTCCGCCAGAACACGGTAACGGCTTCTCCAAAATGCAAAGCAAAGATGGGTTTCAGTAAACTCGACGCATTGTGGTGAGAAGTTCAATCCGTCTTCTTGGTTTTTTCGGTAAAGTCACGTAGAAGGGAAATAGTAAAATAATAAAAAATAAAACATTAAATAATTCTCACGACGTTTCGGCCACAACGCAAGCAGCCGTCTTCAGAATCTCTGCCTTCTCGACAGACCTGTTCTCCACCTGAGGACGGCTGCTTGCGTTGTGGCCGAAACGTCATGAGAATTATTTTATTATGTTTTATTTTTATTATTTTATTATTTCCCTTCTACGTGATGACTTTACCGACAGAACCAAGAAGATGAATCCCTGCAGTCACGAAAGCTTTAAATCGAAATGCATGTTTTAGCATTGCATTACTTTTGAACGGTGTATTGGTTTAAATGTCTCGATCAGTGTATCAATTAGTGTCTACAACTAAAATACATTACACATTTGTGATTTAACACAATGGAATAAAAAAGGAACATTCGTTACAGTCAGCGATGCTTGCATACAATTAGAGCAAACTGCAATCAGTGAAAGTCAGTTGATTGGCGATTACTTAAGTTCCGAGTTGTGAATTGACGAGTGTTATGGCTGCTGCTAAAATCGATACTAAACTTTAAATACTCTTTGGTTCTTTCGGTAAAGTCACGTAGGTGAAAATAAGAATAAAATAAGTGTGAAATTAAATAACTAAAATTTAGTTATTAAAATTTTTAAGATGAAAATAACTAAAATTGAGTTAATTTTATTTGTATTTTACATTTTATCATTATTTTTATTTTCTACCCACGTCACTTTACCGAAAGAACCAAAGAGTATGGATCCTTGCAGTCACGAAAACTTCCAATCTAGAATCAAACTTTAAATGTTATCAGGTAAGGCCCACTAAGTTCAATCCGCTCTCTGCCGCGTCATTATGCAAGTGCATGTCAACGTGGGAATGATGAAGACCCGCTCGCGTGATTCACTGTAGTTTGAGTAAAGATTTTGGACTGCAGGGATATTTAAAATCGATGGCGGTTGATCCTAATAATCCTCACCCCCATTTTCACCCCACTCAGTGCTAGCAGTGGCTGTTCAGTTAACTTGATATTTCATCTTCTTGGTTCTTTCGGTAAAGTCATCACGTAGAAGGGAAATAATAAAATAATAAAAATAAAACATAAAATAATTCTCACGACGTTTCGGCCACAACGCAAGCAGCCGTCCTCAGGTGAAAACCAGGTCTGTCGGGGAGACAGCGTCTGAATGAAACAGCACACGAGCTTGGAGCATATATCGTGTGCTGTTTCATTCAGACGCTGTCTCCCCGACAGACCTGTTCTCCACCTGAGGACGGCTGCTTGCGTTGTGGCCGAAACGTCGTGAGAATTATTTTATTATTTTTATTTTTATTATTTTATTACTTCCCTTCTACGTGATGACTTTACCGAAAGAACCAAGAAGATGAATCCCTGCAGTCACGAAAGTTTTAAATCGAAATTTAACTTGATATTTATTGTGTCCTTAGCACCATTTACCAACATGCCACTCATCTCACATTTACATTCTATATACTAACCAACACACTTGTATGGATATAATGTAAGCGCTGCTTTGATCATTGCAATTGTTGATTTGTCTCTTCCCAGATGAGTTTACCGGTCTGTCTCCTTGAATGTACTTCAAACCCACCCTGATCACAGGGCCACTGTGTTGTTACACAATATCGTTTTTGCATTTAATAAACCGGCATTATGAAGCGTTCTGACTTCGTGTTTGGAGCTGTTAATGACGTGAAGGTGGCAAACGTTTTTCATGTCGGCACCGGCCTTTGAAAGACGTGTAGCAATTTGACCACTTGCTGTAAAACCACCCACGTGGATAAGACATCCACAATTAGTTTGAGCACGGGGCGTATTCACTGTTTGGACTGTCAAATAAATAGTCATGAAAGTCATTGTGGTTGTTGGGGACTTTCTATTTGGCCTTGATTTGGAAATAGAAGTTTTGGTCAATTCCTATTTTGGATAATGCTTCACCTGGATTTCAACCCAAACAATGAATGCCTTTCGCAGCTCTGCTGAAATAATGTCATCTCAGAATCTACCGAGGATGCTGTTGTGATGCTTCTCCGTATGTGACAGCAATCAAGATGTTCCGTTTTTTATAAGCCATACGCTGAACATATGCCTGGGACTTTCATTAGTTTTGATCTATAGTTTAGTATGCTCTTAAGGTGTTTAATAAAGTCTACAAATGTACAGTAAACATCAAAGCTTAACATACGTTGTCATTTCATCAGCAATTTTCACATCCTAAACAACAAAAGTCTTATTTTGCACGCATTCAGAAGCCGAGACTTTAACGTTGTCTGCAGCGACACAGCTGAATTTGCCACCTTGCAGATTGAGAACATCTGCAATTACTACTAATGTTTAAGATTAATATTTTACATGTGTGCAATCATCTCCAATGTGCTCTGCCTTGGACGTGTGTTCAAGGTAGAGCACAAGTCTTGCCTAGAGAGGTGGTTCAAACAAGTTGGTGCCATTCCCAGTCCAAGGGCCAGCGATTTTAAAGATGATGATTTCGCGGCCACCAGGAGGAACTCTTTCTCTATATTCTAAGCCAGTTTCACAAGCGGAGGGTTTTAACTGGAATCCAGCGACGTGGCCCAACTTTACGTTGCCAACGATCGCCGCTCGCTTGCAGACCTCACGACAATCGGTGAAATACCGCGGATTGCAAACGCAGTTTTGTCAAGGCATTGGGGGGATGGGTATTTTGGCACCGCAATTGGTTAAGCCCTTTCCTTCTTTCAACGTTGACATTCCGCTGTCTAGTTCGTGGTGAATATATTAGCAAGGTATTGTTAGTCTTTTATGTAAAATGTCGTTTTTGCAAATCTGCTATGTGAATGACAAGCGGGAATTTATTATTGATTAATTTCGCTATGCCAGCTAATGAACCTTTTTCGAATTTGACATGTAGTGTTTTACAAATGTCACATTTTTTTGCGTTTTTTCTGTTATCGGTTTTAAAGTTTGAACGAAAAAACGATGTTTCATGTTCAGCTGAATTGTTGTTTGTTGATTAAAACGTTATAAGTGAAATGCTAAAAGTTTTCTCTTTTGCAATTTATTTTTTGTAATGAATGTTGCTTTCATGCCAGCCACTTGCAATAGACATCACGAATTGTAAATGCAAACCTCTTAGTATCTTTGATAATACATCTTATTTGTAACTTTGCATTCCGATGCGGTATGTCACTAAACTTATTGCGTGCAGAACTTGCTATAAGATATTCTTGGTTCTTTCGGTAAAGTCACGTAGAAGGGAAATAATATTATTTAATTGTTTCCCTTCTACGCGACTTTACCGAAAGAACCAAGAATATGAATCCCTGCACTCTCATATTACATCATCCCATGATGTAAAACATTGATTACAGTGATTTTTATAAAAATAAAATTGCTGAAAATTCATAATTCTGATCTCAAGGGAATAATCACATTTGTGTGGGTCCCTGCGAATATCACCCCCGGGCACGACTCACTCTGGCGATGGAGAAACTCGGCATGGCCTGCTCGATGATCATTAGTGTCAGCGTGAATGATTTGTGTGCTGCGTCGTGCGATTCCAAATGGAAATGTTCATCTCGGAAGTCGGTTCACACAAAGACTTGATTATCACTTCCTCTCATCTAATAATGCTGCCTCTCTCTTCCCCGTGCGTGTGGGTGTGTATAGCTCGTGCGGTGTCGTGTGTATGAGATACAACAACAATTACAGTTGCACGTGCTGCCACATTTGACGTGTGAGGTCACAACTGGTGGATGCAATTCGTATGATCAAATAAAAATGAATCTCGATTTAAAGCTTCTTTCGTGACTGCAGGGATTCATTTTCTTGGTTCTTTCGGTAAAGTCACGTAGAAGGGAAGTAATAAAATAATCAAAATAAAGCATAATAAATGATTTAATTAAATAATAAAAATAAAACATAAATAATTATTTTATAAAAAGGAATTCTTTTCTTCTTGGTTCTTTCGGTAAAGTCATCACGTAGAAGGAAACCATAATAAAATAATAAAATAAACCAAAATAAAGTAATTCTTTTATTTAAATAAAGTAATTCTTTTATTATGTTTTATTTTTATTATTTCCTTCTACGTGATGACTTTACCGAAAGAACCAAGAAGATGAATCCCTGCAGTCACGAAAGCTTTAAATCAGTTGACGTTACACATATGGAAAATACATATTTTTGAACTCAAAAGCACGTAATAGAAAGAAAAAACACCTCAACATTCCTTGCTGTGGTAAGCCGTGTTGCTGGTTGCGTACACACACACAAGCACACAGTTCCAATCTAAGTAACAACAATGCAAATATGCTGATAAATACTCTGTTTCTTTCGCTAAAGCACATAGGTATAAAAAAATTAACCCGTAAAACAAAGTTTTTCACTATAAATCCTTTATATGCGTGGCATCGGTTTTATTTTATTATTCAATTCTGTTTTTCTTGAGTAAGAGTTTCATTTTTATCACATTGATATTTTAAATAAATATGAAAAAAAAATTTTTCCTAAAAGTGGAAAATTTTGGAAAAAAATTTTCACGAAAATAAATTGTCACGCACAAACGAGTCTGTGTGCAAAATGTCAGCTCGATTGGATCACGGGAAGTGGGTTAAAAAACGACCGAAAGATTTGCACGGTCGTAGCGCGCAAGCAAGCAAGTGAACTTAATAAAAAAGATTTAATAACAAAACTAAGCACGACGTTTCGATTGCAACACAAGCAATCATCATCATCATCAGGTGGGAAAACCACAGCGAGAACATTGTTTTGCTACCTACGTGACTTTACCAAAAGAACCAAAGAGTACGGATCGCTGCAGTGACGTCAACGTCAACTCCAGATCGCTGACAACCAAATCGTCCCGTCGTGCCAGGCCGCCATGTTGGCCGGGTGGGTAGGCAGCACGCGCCACGGGCGGACAGAGCCCTGATTGGCTGAGAGCCGCGCGTGCGTCACGCCTCCCTCCCATTGGCTGCTGCTGCTGCCGCCGGTCAACTCACCCGCCCTACGTGGTCAGAACGTGACCTCAGCAACAGCTGCGACGTTCGTTTCAAACGCCCCAGGCGTCTCCTCTCTCTCACCTCTCTCTCGTTTGCCTCCCTTACGACGCTTTGCTCGACATTGTTTGTGTTGCTCTACACCAACTGCTGCTGCTGCAGGTTCGACGGCGGCTGGTGAATCCCGTAGCGGGTACGTGGCCAAACACGCGTCTCCTCCTCCCTGTGCTACTCAGCGCTCACGCTCTTGACAGACAACTTGATCTCGTCCCATGTCTTAGCCACTCGGCGTTGTTGGATATGGACGTGATGAGTAATGTTACTAACTTTTTTAAAACACACGCGTTAATGAAATGTACCCTGCTGTTTGTAGATTTGAAGCTTTCGTGACTGCAAGGATTCATATTCTTAGGTTTTTTCGGTAAAGTCACGTAGAAGGGAAATAATAAAATAAAAAGTAAACATAATAAAATAATATAATATCTTTAATGTTTCATTTTATTATTTTATTATTTTTATTAATAATATAACAATATTTTTTTTCATGTTTATTTTTATTTTATTATTTTCATTAATAATATAATAGAATATATTTTTAATGTTTTATTTTTATTAGTTTATTATTTTTCTTCTACGTCACTTTACCGAAAGAAACAAGAAGATGTATCCCTACTATTTCTAGATTTGAAGCTTTCGTGACTGCAATGATTCATATTCTTAGGTTTTTTCGGTAAAGTCACGTAGAAAGGAAATAATAAAATAAATAATAAAGCAATAAAATAATATATTATTATGTTTTATTTTTATTAACAATATATATTTTTTTATTGTTTAATTTTTATTATTTTATTATTTTCCTTCTACGTCACTTTACCGAAAGAACAAGAAAGATGTACCCTACTATTTCTAGATTTGAAGCTTTCTTGACTGCAAGGATTCATATTCTTAGGTTTTTTTTTGCTAAAGTCACGTAGGTAAAAAATTTAAATTAATAAAGTAAATAAAAATAAATAAAAATCACGACGTTTCGGAGGCAACACAAGCTTCCGTCTTCAGGTGGAACCATCACAGCACGCTTACTGTATCAAGTAACTTATTTACTTTTATAAATTTTAATTTTTTACCTACGGACTTTACCAGAAAAATTCTATGTACCGTACGAGTAATGGAAGAACTCCAGCAAGTGACCCGAGGCTTGCCAGTGACACTATACACTTCTACACGATACACTACACTAACACTACTATACACTACACTGTTCACTACTCATACACTAACACTATACACTGCTACACGATACACTACAACTATACACTACTAACACTACTATACACTACACTATACACTACTATACACTACACTATACACTACACTATACACTACTATACACTACACTATACAATACTATAACACTACACGAAACACTACTATACACTACACTATTCACTACTATACACTTACACTATACACTGCTGCAAAGGTCCAGGCCAGAAAAACATGTTGTTGTTGTTGTTGACCAGTGTTATAAACACTTGATGTTTGTGTCTAGCAACGAGGCGGCTTGCACTAAAGTATGTCAAACACTTCGCCGCATTTCACCGTGGCACTCTATTCATTGATGGCCGTCGAGCGCGT